GACAACACTGTATTTAATTTTCTCACTCCTCCACTGCAATTCTTTTTCCATTACACAGAAATAATAGAAGGTCATAAGGATGAGAAATAAATTAGCAATTTTGAAATTTGATTTATAGTAACAGATAATAGCAATAAATGCAAGAAGCAAAATACCCCGCTGCAACAGTTCAGGCATAAATCAGTGAGAATGGTAACATTCCTGACTTCACATCGGTGACAAAGGTGAAGCAAATAGAAAATTACAGGAAAACAATTTTTAAAAATAGTGTCAAGTTTTGAATAAAAAAGGCATTAAAAATTATCTCTGACATGAACTATATTTTTCCCACTACTTGGCTCCCCCATGAAACCAACTAATATCCTGAGAACAAATCTGGTATTTAATATGGCAACCTTCCAGTGTCTAAAGGGAACAGACAAGAAAACTGCAGAGTGACAATTTACAAGGAGATATAGTGATGGGATAAGAGTAAATGGATTCCCACTGAAAGAGGGAAAGATTTAAATTAGATATTAGGAAGAAATTCTTTACTGTGAAGGTGCTGAAGAACTGGAAGAGGTTGCCTAAAGAAATCGTGGATGCCCCATCCTTGAAAGTGTTCAAGAAGTGGTTGGATGGAGCTCTGAGTGGAGTTGGAACTAGGTGGCCTTTAAGGCCCCTCCCAACCTAAACCATTCTATGACATCTTTCCAAATATAACCAACGTTTTTTTTTTGCTAACAAATATAAATATTGCTGTAATTGTAAGTTGCTGTGTAGTCATCCATGGTTTCTACAAAGAGAAAAAAAGAAGAGAAAAAAAATGACTAAAACAAAATCCATATAGTTTCTGGATGGATTTTGATTTGGTATACACTAAATATGACTTGGTGTCCTGAGAAGACAGCACTAATTCTTCACTAATTATTAAGCCAGCAAGCTATATTATGGTAGCATTGCACAAAATAAACTGACTTTTCTTCTCTTTTTTAAAAATTATCCCTTAGACAGTCTTGCTCTATGAGAATAATTCTGAGTCTGTGGAAAATTCTCCTCAGCATTCACACATACAAAATGAACATGTCATAGGAAGAATGCTGTAAAATGCTATAGAATTGAAATGCAGATATATACATCTCCCAGACATATTTTTTTTCCCCATCACTTTATCACTCTGTACTGATTCAAAGCAGTCACAGTTCAACAGAGACCTCAGTAGATTCTGCAAACCTAAATTACTTCCAGTGCCTCTACCAACTACATCAGGGAATGCCTCAGACATCTAAACTGTGTCAAAAAAACCTGTGTAAACACTTATTTTCTTGTCTTCCATTTTCTGACACTTAAGTTATCAGAAAGAATGTGTACTTTTTGAGAAGAGGAATGTATTTAGCAAGGAAACAGGACCTGGCACTTAATAAATCACAAGGGTGGTGTTGCATTCAGTTTATACAAATGTCTCTATCTGGACTAAGGAAAGTGGGAAAAAAAGTTCAAAATCCTTTATTTTTTTCCATTTCAACAACTTTCTCATTTATAACTCATCAAGTTCTCTGATAACTAAGGAAATTAGAAAAATGCACACCATAAAAGCCAAGGTAGTCCCAAATCCAAAGCACTCCTGCCCTGAAAGCTGGTCATTGCAGAGGGGCCATTCTAACCACAAAATGCCTTACTCAACTGGAAAATGGCCAAAACCAATGAATCTGACTCCAGAATCAGGACATTCAGATTAACAAAACTGTAGGGAGATCCCTGCAGGTCCTTTGTTTTGCATTTCTCATCACAAAATTGTTTTCCACCTGTAAAACAGTATCCAGTTTGTCTTTTAGAAAGTGTGGCAGATAGCTGTATTACTCTTGTCTGACAAAACACCAAATTTATGTTTTCTTGCTCTGTATTCAGAATACACTAGAAATCTATATGTCACTCAACTTGATTATAAGTCCTGTAAGTCTGATAAGTACTAAGGCAAAATAACAGAAGGAATCAATTTGCTAAGTAAAAAAAAAAATCCAGAAAGAGAGCAGAACCCTCAGGAATATTTAAGGAATATCGTAATTTCCCTTCCAATAGATTTCTGACAGCCGAATTAGAATAAATAACATTTTGTACTGAGTTTCTGAGGCATAAAAATAGGATTTGTCATGTCAAGTCTCTGGGCAATAGCCTTATCTGTTTTCTAGATGCTGTCTCCTAGAAAATTTTAAAAAATTTAAAAAAATAAAAAGAGCAGAAAGTTGAAAGAATGATATTCTGTATAATCAGGAACTAGCACACTTCATCCAAAGTCTTTTCAAAATTGTTTAAAAAATTCCACAATCCCCTCTTCACTCAATGGTGTTGTTTTCTATAAATAATTTCAAAGAAAATGAAAACTGGGTAAAGGAATTTATTATTTATGCCATGACAGTGCTTCTGATATCATATTCACAGAAAGCATAGAGAAAGATGCCTCTACTTAATATATTTCCAGTTTTAGATTCTTGTCTACAGCTTCTTGTCTATCTTCTCTTACCTAATAAATAACAACATAGTTTATTATTGGATGAGTTTTTGAATATTGATAAGATTAATCCTCTCTTTTATCTCCTTTTTTTTTCAAAACTCACTTTATACTTGGCACAGATACTCTTGAATAAAGGAATGTACTTTTCCTGTTTAGAATAAGTTTTTAAAAATAAACTGTAAAAAAAAAATATATTAAAATACATATTCTGGGGAAAAATGAAGCTAGATTTAGCACTCCAAGACTTAAAACTCATATTCCAGTGAAATTTTTAAATTAGGTCACAAATGACATCAATTTATTAGACTGAAGAATAAAAAATTTAAAAGTATTTCTGGTAGGAATCGATCTGCTCCTTCAACTTTCTGAACAATACAATGCAAAAAAATTAATATTCCTCTAAAACTCTTTCTCCATGCTACCTAGAAAAGATTGAGCATTCTGTGTTGTAATTATGCCCTAAAGTGAGTGTAGTTGCTATAGACTTTCTTCTCTCCATATCTCTTTCAATAAAATGTTTTTGTGAATTACAGGTACAGGAAGCATGATCCCCGCAATTACCAGATTTGGGCTGTGCATTGTCATTATGATTTGGTTGACCAATGATAAAGAGAAATATTTTACCCAGCACCTCAGACAGGTACTAAATACAGTGAATAATCATGCAGTAATGTCTTTGAAAACCATTATACCTGAGACAATAAAGTAAGTCAGCATAGCTGAATGTGGCTGTTGAAGCTTTGATTCATTCCCTACCTAAAGGGTTGCTTGTGAGATTTTGCTGGTGGCTCTGAAACTAGTAAAAAAGAGCTTTCTTTCAATCTTAGATTTTTTGGATTTGATTTTGTTGGTTTTTTGGGATTTTTTTTTTTTTTTGATGGAGAGGAAGCAGTGAAGGGTAATTAAGCAGCACTAATGAAATCTATCAATTTTACCATAACTGGCTGCAAAACTAAGCAGAAGACAAAACAGATAAGAAAAACAAAACAAAACAAAAAGGAACCACACAGAAATATTCAATGTCAAGCCTATTGATAGATACTGTACATTGAATAACACAGGACAGATACAACTGAGTCCCTGCACAGTCTGGTTCATAGCTGCTACTCTGAGAGCTTCATCAAAGGTCCAGTCCTACTGTGGAATACAGTATGGATTCAATTCAATACAATGGAACAACAAATTCTTTTACTGAAACTTTCAGTCAAATTCAGTGTAAAAATAAAGCAAAATTCAGATTGTGTAAGCAGCTACATAGAAGTATTGTCTTGCCAAATGGTTGGTTTTTACGTAGAAATTCTGAATTCGTTTCAATTGTACCACATCACAGAAACCTTTTTCAGCAATTAACAAGGACACCAAAAGGTGAGCCTTTACACCTTGTTGATGTATTTGTGCAGGCATTTCCTCCTTGAACCAGTTTCTGACATGTATGACAACCTTACTTCTGCTGCTTCAACATGTTGAGATGTTAATTGATATCCAAGACAGTTTATTCTAACATGGGGACAGAACCTAACTAGCTCCCTCCAGCCTTCTCCATGCTCTTGCTGCAAGGAGATGCCTCTCTGGGCATCACTGAAATACACTTTTCTTCAAGCACTGTTTTCCTTATCTAGCCATATTGCAGACCAAGCACACTGCTCAACAAAGCATATTCCAGTAGCTTCCTTGTTGCAGCTATTGGAAACTCCAAAGACCATTTTCCCTGAAATGGAGTCTGCTCATCTCTCTTGCTGAGCTCTGCAGACTCCTGAACACATATGCACCACTAACTTCCAACTGATGCTGCCTCAGATACAATTAAGCAAGTAAGAATTTTTAAGACCACAAAAAAATCTCCTGTTTTACTCTGCTAAAAAGCAGAAGAAATGTAAACAAATTTAAAAAAAAAAAACCAAAAAACTATGAGTTTGCAATTGTACAATTGAAATCAGAATGAGGATACTACTGTATATGACCAGTTCTTCTTAAGTCAATATAAGCATGCTTTGTACTTAACTGTGAAAAAATACAAATTATAAACAAATTTAAACCATAACTGAAGCACGTTACAAGAATATAGATTTTCATCACTGGAGTTAGAGACAGTGTACTATAACCTATTACCAAACCTAAATCATGGAGAGAAACATGTATTTTCAGATCACATTCCAGTTTCTCCTTAACTGCTAAAACATTCACTTAAAAGGTCACTGCAGCTTGAAAAACTTGTGGTTCCCTTGAGACCACTCTGATTTGTTAATTCAGATGACATTCATGCTAAAAAATCTGATAACTGAGGAATTGTACAGTTGTCATCCCTTGGCAACTGAAGACAGGTAATGAGCAACACTGTCAAGGCAACAACATTAATTTTTAATATAAAGTGGAACTGGAAGCTCTAAAGATAGAAAAAATATACAACTGTGTTTCTTTTTCAAGCTTGCTTAATATTTAATACTTGTTTCAACTACTGACACAAAATCACAAGCCTCCTGAATCCCACAATTATCTGATGAGGACTTACCGTTACTCCAAAGAACCTGGTTTCATTCATAGCATTCAGAAAAATTTTGCCTAGTTTGTGATTTGTGTAGTTAAAATCTTCAATTTTTTGGTGCTTGTTGGTGGAATTCAGATAATTCATTGCCCGCTGTAGGGTCCTGGCAATCACCCATATTCCATCATAGGCATAACCATGAAATTTGCTGGATTGTCCATCACCACGTTTAGCATTGTATTCCTTTTCATACTGCTGTGGAGTCTGCAGAGGAGATGAAATTCAGTTTTACCTCAATACTTAACATTTTACAGAGTGGAATCTCAACCAACATCTCAAACTGCACACTCTAATTTAGAGACATGCATAACTAATACAGAAAAGGTCCCCAAAATAAAATTATGAAAGAAAATAAAATTCAAGGAACAAGTATTGCCTGATTTAAAAACTTCTGGTGAGAATGCAGAACTAGGACACAGAGAGTCTGAAAGCAGTTGTACTGCCTCACTGTATAAATGACAACTTGGTTTATTTTACTTTTGTACAAAAAGGCTCCAGTTCAGCCAAAACTGTACACTGGTGAGCCATAACACTAGAGCAGAGAATAAGTCTGTATCCCTGCAAATTAGTGGTCTGGTTACACTTTACAGGATAACACAAGCCCTTTACTCAATATAAAATTTGGAGTGGCAATTTGTCTATATTTTACAAGTTAACTACGATCTGGATGGTGTGCTATCAGATGATGAGTTGCCCCTCAGTAAAGTTGCCTTTCATGCTCACTCAGCAAGGCATGAAAGGCAGATTGGAAAAAAAAAAAAAAAATGAAAAGCAGCAAAATAAACATGCTTATATTTATTCATTGGTCACAGTTTGTATGGATTTGTTCAGTGATAAAATTTTATGTGTTTTATTGAAACACCACATATATTTAAAACAAGTCTCACCTTCTGCCCCCTAGTTCTGAGAGGCACAAATCATCATTCAAATTGTCTGTTTGCAGAACAGGTTTAAATATGAGAGTTTTCTGTTTCTGTGCTCAACTATTTAACTTGAAGTGACACAGCACATGATACTAAAGACTGTAATTCAAACTTTAATGTACATTTAACTATAATGTTCATACCGGGGGAAGAGGGAAGATTCGAAGCAAGGGACTTCACTGCTTTCTTACCCTGTAGAGAATTAGATTTGATTTTCAAATATTTTAAAATTGCAAACTTTGTCAAGTGGTAAAACTATCTGTGATGACTGCCAGGTCACTCAATAGAAGAACCCTTCAGCTTCACCTCCCTCCCTGGTGCTTTACTGCGCCAACCCGGCAGAGAGAGAACTGATGCTATAATAAAAGAGATGGAAGAAAAATACTAACCCTTCCTGATATAGTCTTATTCGTTTTCGAGCTGAGAGGCTCAAAATCCACTCCAATATAACCTTCCATGGCTGCAAGAAGATTTTTGCTGAGACACTGTGTGGAATTAATCCAGGATTCCCACCAAAGATTTTCATACCACCCTGGAATAATCCATTGATATTTGCTGCCATACATTTCTTCATCATAAGCCTGCAAATACGAAAAACAGAAAAGATAATGGACATTCTAATTTTGAACATAAAAACATAGTATTGAACATAAAACCAATTGCTTTTTGTTAACTTTTTTTTCATTGTAAATGAAATGATGGTGTAATTTGGGTACAAAAGTATTTTGAACACCTTAGAATAATTACTTGCTAATAATGAAGACTTTTTTTGAAGACTCCTGACTTTAGAATTCAGGACATGAGAATTTACTAAACCCTGTTTTTCTTTCAGTGGATCATTTCTTAAAAATCAGAAAATTGAAACTGTATTCTAGAACTGAGGGAGTTAAAGAGGAACACAAACAGAAGGCACAGCTTTCCAAAGAAAGTTCTTCATAACACAACTATTACATAAGTGATAGAACCACCATGCTACCATGCTGCAAATGCTACCACATTTAAACTAAGGTATTATCACCCTTAAATAGGCACCATTGAATCACAAGTGGCAAACGTGAATTAGGTGGCTGCTAAAAAGCAGACCACAGTAACATTAAGTTAGGAGTTCCTTCTGAGGAGCATGAGTGAATAGTGAACTGATAAAGCAAAATCTTAATGATTTTTTTTTTTTTTAGCAAGAATTTTCTTCATATGAAATTCTATATGGTTGGAATACAGCCCACTGTAATTCAAGATACTGAGATTATAGTTATCTCCTTTCAATACTTAGCAGATATATATATATATATATATAATATATATATATATAAAATACATATATATATATATAAAAGGAAACAGAAATACTTTCTTAGTTAAGCACATATGTTGTTGTACCTAAAAGCTGATCTATTCTTAGATATTCTCTTTGATTGGGAAGAGTGTTCTATGCCAAAATTAGCAAATTTTATGTCAGATGTTTCTCTCACTGTCTTGCAACTAGATATTTTTCTTTTGGCATTTCAGTTAGACTCCATTTCAAAATTTCAGGTTTCATGCTTCTTTGGCTCCTAATATAAGCAATACTTGAGATAGAAGGCCTAAGATAAAAACTGTAATTTTTAGAAGTACATGGTACAAGCTTAGAGCTGTTATGAGGAGAACTTCTGCATTTTCACAGAAAATATTACAGAAGAAGGAAATTATAAGAATGCAAACAGGACATATTAGTCATTCTGAAATAACTGTTTTGAAAAGTATCCCAAAGATCATACACAAAGCCTATCAGAGAAGAAAAGATCAATAGCAGAATATATGAAATAGGACAGCCTCCTAAATATGTTAATACCCAAATTAAAAATGGGCTTTAAATCTGTGAAGTCTATTATAATGGTGCCAGCTCAGTTCATAACAGTATTGTGCACAAAGCAGATTTATTTGGCCCCTGGTTGCAGAAGCTTTTGTTCAGCCAAAATCAAATTTTATGCCTTTGTATACAATGCTGCTTGAAAGTCCTGTCTGAAACGCGGTGTCTTGCATCTCATATATTACTTACTCCACAATCCACATGAGCAGTTTGTGTTTCACTTGCTTGTTAATTCTGCCCTTCCAGAAGCATATCTGCTTCTGTCCTCCTACCCACCCTCCACTCCTGCACAGCTCTGGAGACACTTTATTCCAGGGCCACCTGCGAGGAAATAGCAATTCTGTGCTGCAGTACTTCCCTCTAAGAGAGTTTTCATTATACAGTTAGGTCATTCAAGACCTTTCAGTGACTCAGTGTTTTTTATCTGACAGTTTGCAGATCATGAGGATGCAAACTGACACAGAATAGTGCTTTTAGAGAAGGACAGTCTTACGTAGCTTCCCCTGCTCTACCGAGATTAAAGTATCATTTTGTGTGTTGCCAGAAAGTATTGGCTGTGAACTATTCCGAAATTAGAGCTGCTGGAAATTTTCTGTTTGCATAAGCACTTGTACTGTTTCCTGCATAATCTGTGAATTCCCTGGGAAATGGGCTGAAAATTAAAAGTTTCAAAATAGCCAGAAATTTCATCTTGGAAATTGCCCGAAAGACTGGTTACACTTTCACATTTCTGCAACAATCTGGTTTAACAAAACACAAAACAAACACTTTAAGAGCTGTCAGCTCTTCCTTGGAGATACGGTGGAATGACAGGGCTTGAAGGGTAGTCTGAGGAAGGCAAAAGTAGGAAGAAAATCAGCTCCTCTGAGGCTGAGCACCATGACCATACAGTCATTTTTCTAGTGACAGCACAGCTGATAGTATTCAGACATTTCAGTGTTTGGGTCCCAGAAGACTTACTGCAAAATAAATAAAACAAATAAAAACGCTTTTCTGACACCATTTTCTCCCTGTTGATTCTGCTAAATGGAGATGATTTTGATGCTTAAAGGATACAAGTACTTGAAACACGTGGATCTTTCTTGAACTGTTTGATTGCACATAGACCAATACTTACAAGTTTCAGTTTTTAAGGGGAAGATTTTTTGGCAGACAAGAGCAAACTGAAGAAGGTTTGCACAAACTCCAGAACAGCATAAAGTAGTCATACATTTTCCTTTATTTTTTTCCCATGCCCTATGTAGGATGCAAAGCCTTGAGTTGCTGTCAAGCAGCCAGGAAACTGTCATGGGCAACTTCTGCCCTTGTGAAATTGAGTTTTTTTTCTTTCAAAACATTTCATTCTTGTTTAAATCCATAAATAAATGCTTATCTACAACAAAGAGATTAATGTAAGAGATATTTCTTATGTATAGTAGACAATCATTGGCAATTTGTTGATTGTTGAAGTATTGTTTTGACCAAAAGACCCTAATTTCTCTTCCAAGAAAACATTACATTCATCCCACTGAGGTGAAAATTAATTATAAAGTTAATATTTCCTATAGAACTAAAGTTGCTCACTGTTTTTTGACACTGGTGATAAATGAACAGCTAAGCTTATTTAAATCCTTGTAGGAAATACCTGCCAACATTCACTTTGACTTGAACCAGTCCTGTCCTGTTTTTATAGTTTGCTACTGAATTATACTATCTTTTAGTCCTTTTTTTTTTTTTTTCTTTTTGGGTGTGGGTGTGGGTGTTGGTCTCTTCTTCCAAATACAAAGAATAGGAAAAGAGGAAATGATGTGAAGTTGCAATAGAGGTGTTTTAGACTGGATATTAGGAAAGACCTCATCACTGGAAGGATTATCAGGGACTGGGAAGAGGTTGAGTCACCATCATAGGAAGCACTCAAAGGATGTGCAGATGAGGCACTCAGGGACATGGCTTAGTGGTGGACTTGGCAGTGCTGGGTTAAAGGCTGGACTAGATGATCTTAAAGGTCTTTTACAACCTAAATGGTTCTATGATCTTATATAAACTCCAATGGATGTCCTGAGGAAACCTCACAGCATGTGACTGTTGAATCCAGGCAGAAAAGTGAGGCAGACTTTAGAGGTTTTACCACCTACATAAGTCATTACCAAATAATATTTAGGATATAACCACAATCAGAAGTAAAAAAATAAAAAAAGGTCTTGCACTAGTGATAAAGCATCTTCCTTTAACAAACTCAAAGCCTTTTTCTGACTGATGTCAGTAACCTTGCAGAATATAATGGGGAATCACAAGTGAAACCTGTCTGAAGACACACCTGGAAAAGAGGAGTTAAAAAAACTTAACATATCTAAATTATTGTGCTCTTAGACATATATATCTGTAGGAGTGCATGAGTCAACAATGTATTTTATGAGTAATAACAAGCTTTCTGACATATTGTAGTGCATTAATATATAAATGACCTACTTTGAACTGCCCTCTCCTCCATTCAGCCTCCTGCTGAAACTCACAAATAAATACATTTTAAAAAGCCTAAATATATGATCTTTCAGATTTCTCTGGGCTCCAGAAAAATCCATCTTATTATTTTTGACACTAATGTGCTTTAGAAGCAGCCATCATGCTTTAAACCACTCAGAGTTATGCACATTTCCCACCTTCACACCAAACTGTAGCTGCAGAAACCTGCGGTCAGCATTCCTGTGAGAGAGACATCTTCTCCCTGGGACCCTTCAGACAACAGCAATGCAGACTAAAGGACAGCCTGCCCCTCCAAGGAAATCTAGAATTTCTTCAGTGGCCTCACATGGACATGGATTTGGAAGAGAATTCTAGAGAAATGCAACTACAAAATAAGGGCAACTAGAAATGAGGCCAATCTCTAGCTAATGTTGGTTTGGAAGATAATTCTGATCAGGACCCCTCTGCTGGGAAAATGCAGCCCAACCCCAAGAGATCTGAGGAGCATCTGGGCTGTAGAAGTACCATTCTTTCTTCCAGGAATGAAAAAAATAGGAGATTATCTCTGTCAATCCAATTTAAATGGCAGTACAAAAAGATCTGTATACAAAGACCTATCAGAGATGAGAAGAATGAAAAGTAAAATAATACTTTCCATTTCCTTTTGGATAAAAACAGATTTTGTTCCTTCCAAATACACGCTACAGTCTCCTTTCCAAATTTTGTCACCAACTGGGACAGCTGCTGAGTAAGAGCCAAAATGCAGCTGAGGCACATGTAGCACTCAGATTTTGAACTTCTGCCTTTCTTTTCTTTCCAAGGATAGGTAACTGTCTCATTAGGTGAACACTAAAAAAAAGATCCTTGTAAATTTAGATGCTGTCATTATTGCTTGTCCATTATATTTGCTGTGTTCTTGGATTAATCTAACTATTTAGACTAAGAAGTCCACAGGCCACTAATATCTTTCTCTTCATGATTTTTTTCAGGCCGGTACAAGTAGAGATCCACATTTTAATCCTGCTACATTTTTTAATGACAATAACAGTGGATAAGTTAGCAGCACATTCACACAAACAAATGGTGAGGATAGGGAATTTTATGTTTGCTAGTCTTACTGTTTGGTTACTGTTATTGGTTTAAAAAACTTCATTTTTTACCAACTAATATCTGCTTTCATGTAATATATGTAAAATGTGCAGCAGTCAGATGTGAGTGACAACTGTACAATTAGCAACATTTTCAGTAGCAGAAATTATTAGTGTTGCTGAGTTAGGATGAAGCGGAACTGGCATGAATTTCTTATTCTTTAAAAGCAAAACATGCAAAACCCATACACACAGACATTGGACAGCTCTTGGACATGACTGAGATCTTTCAATTCTCTCCAGAGTTCTCTCTCTTGCTACATATGCAAGTATTTTTCTGTATCTGATGAGAAAAGCAATACTCAAGTTTGATTTGGCATTTTCTTCCACTACAGGAAAGTAATAATAAGAAGAAGCTAACCATGCAGCCTACGTCTAAATTCCACTGAAGTCAAGTACGAAGTATTTTATTGAAAGAGAAATGGAACTGAGCAGGTGTAAGTTCTCTTTAGGATATAAAACTTCACAGAGCTGAACTCCATGAAGAAATATTTATGCTCAAGTCACTTTTTATTCAAATGCAGCACATTCTTTAGTCTGATATGCAATTAAATATATTTACTTACACAGCAGAAAACTTTCACAGCCATTTCCTCATCAAACTGGCCAAGGATTATCCGAACGTCATTGCCCTGCAGATTGAATAAAATGTGTGGCAGTTAAACACAGTCACAGCTTCCAGATACCACTTTAATTGGCCATTCAGATCATGCAGGGAGTTAGCACAGATTACAGCTGCAGACAGAATTAATACAGAACTATTTCATCTTCTCTAAGTTCAAGAACCTGAAGTAATGCAAAAGAAAAAAAGAAAGCTGAGGTGTAGAAAATGATTAGGCAATAGTACTAATGAGAGTAAAACTGACACTACAGTCAATTATTATTCAATAACACTAAAATATCAAATATATTTTGCTTCTTTGCAATATTTATTCTAAAATTTTGCATATTAGAACCAGCTGAAGACATAAACTTATCACTGCATGAAATAAAACTGTAAAATTAAGAAATGAGATTTGTGAGAATAAATGCCTTGATATTATGCCTGTTTTAGCAATTTTAAAAGGTTTTACTCATACAGCATCTTCTCTATAGTCACTAAAACACATCAACTACTCCCTCTCTACTCCCTCCCACCTTCACACATTAAAAAAAATCATCATAGTTTAAGAACCTATGACTGAAGTCCAAAGGTAATTTTACTTTCATACTTAGAAACATATTAAGAGAGTTTTCCTAAATTCAGGAGCATTATGCAGGAAAATATTTCTCCAGGAACAGGACTAACCTCCTCCTAACATGAAAAATTACTTCTAATATCCATAAAACACACTTTTATGACTTCACATTACCTTTTCTTTCACACAAAGGCAGAGTTCTCTGCAAAACCTTGAGCAAATTAAATTTTTCATTTCTTTCATATAAGACCTGTTTAGAATTACTAATAGCTCTTTCCCTCTCCAAGGAAAAAACAAACATATGATTCGGTATGATTTTCTGTGGCAAAAAACATTTAAGTTTTAATTAAATCAATTTGTCAAAGTTTCTTGTTTTTTTTTTTTTAGCTCAGATAATTTCACTGTTTATTTCCTGTTCAGAAGAAAATATTATGATGGACAGTGCAGTAGGATATTAGAAAGCCTCAGTAATTAAATGCATGAAAACAGTATCACTCTTAGCATGGTTTAAATCAGAAATAATGTAATGTGCTTTGCTCATTCTGAACCTGTGCATTTTCAGTAAGCCTGCTTCTCTTCATTTTTATATTTAGCCACAGACTGATAAAGTAATGTAAATCTTTTTCAAGTGGATTAGATTCTTTATAAACAAATCTAACAAGGTTACATGAAATGAAACAAACAAATTACACAAATTACAGCAATAGTATTACAGTTTTTGCCAGGATAATAAATAGATTTAGGAATTATGCACCAAAAAAAATCACCTCATCTACTATTTCTTTTTTTCATATTTTAAAAATAATTTGGTTATTCTTGGAACCTCAGCGCTGAGTCACTTGACTGCTCTGAACATAAAAATGCAGACTTAATATTTGAAAAAAAGAGTAGCAGAATTTGATTAAAAAATAAATGTCACAGCACCTAATAATTAAACTTAAGATTCGAAGAAATTCTTTTCCATTTTATGACACAATGAGAACCAATTAAAAAACCAAACAAACAAAAACATGTGTGGCTTAAACTGTGTGGCTTCATAAATAACGATCCCAGAGGGCACATGCAGCAATGCTGCCCACTGCCTGCTTGACAGCATTCAGACTGAAGTCATAGCGTCTGTGGTGTGTGGTTTCACACCTTGAGACATTGCTTCCACCTGATTATCACATAATTTAGTATGCAGTTATGTAACCAAGGAATTCTGTGTCAGAACACATGTAATTTAGGAGCTAATTTAGGAAAATCTGTACAACAGCCCTTCCTCTTTCATGCACAGCAGTCTTCCTCTGTGCAATGACACACTCCACAGCCAGCCTCTTCCACCCAAACTCCACACAAACTTTTTACATCCCCTTCCACATTTTCACCAGATTTGTTCTTGAAGAATTGCATTCAAGACTGCAAATAAGCCTAGATCCATTGGATGCCAGGCTTGGGTCTGCCGGCTCCGTCCCACATAAGAGGCATTGAAGTTTCAAATTCATGCACCTGCACATAGCTCAAGTCCCTTGCAGAGATTTTATCTGCATGGATAATGAAGTCTGCACCAAAGGGTATCAGAGCTGGGTTCCTGTCAGTGCTTGTGGATCAAAGTCCGCTTTACAGACTCATGCAAAGAGATAAATCAGATGCTTGCTGGGAATAACTTTTTTACCTCTTCATTCATACTGTTAACTGACTATAAACCAGCATGATTTCCTTGCAAGGCTATACTATTCCTTCACACAGAACCCTTGCAGAATGATGCAAGTTAACACAGTGGAACTTCCTCATAGGGATCAAAGAAATCACCTACTGGATCCCAACAAGCGTCAAGTCTCTTTTTCAGAGAGCTGTAAATTGCTTGCATGGAGCTAAAACATATTTGACAGAAGAGGTTTTAATTAATGGAACTAGGCAGGTGATCTAGAAGATGATTAAAAACATCCCAGGGGGAAGGCAACTCCCAAAACTGCACTTACATAAAAAGACCAATGTTTAGACTGTTTGCCAGATGGTGAGCTGTCATATTTACTCTTCCCAGAGATTACAGTAGCAATATCAGCATTTAAGCTTTGCCCCTTAGTAAGAAATACATATGTTCCCATATGGACTGAAGTTCAAACAAGAAAATGAAGAACAGTTATATTTCATTTACCCACTGTTCTGGCAAACCCTGCATAAAAACATGTTTTATAAATTAAGCACAGCCTCAAGCCTCAGATAATAAAGACACTTTTTCTCCCTTCTTTCTTTCACATAGGTGAGGATATTATTTGGCTACTAAATATAAAATGTTTTTGGTAGCACCAGGAGTTGAGTAATATAAACCCTGAAGAGAGTGAGGATCAACACATCTAAGATGCTCTACTCAGAAATGAGGAACAACTTGTCTCCTTCACTGCCATTTCTAACAGCCTCACACACGAGACACTCCTTAGCCTTTTCAGAGTTTTTGAGTGATGCATATTATGCTGGAATAGGCAGCTATTTTTTTTCAGCCTTCACAGCTTCCCTTCTTTGATCAGATTTTAATCTGTCTCATTTCTAATGAATAACAGCACAATGTTGTATTATATAGCTTTCCAGAGAAGGATTGCTACAATATCTCATCTGCCAGGAAAAGTCAATGTCTTGGCAGGCTCTTTATGAGATACCTAAATTGAATAGCTCAGATACTCTGTCTTATTCTCTAACATGCATCTGACAGTCAAGAGGTTATCAATAAATCTACAAAAACCTGGGTAACTTGACAACAGAGGTAGCCACATGTTCTGCCTTCTAAATGCTTAGATGTCCACTTGAAGAACTATAGATAAGCCTCTGACCTTAGCTATGGAATCACTGATGGTGAAGGTGAACTAGAGGACATCAATTCCTACCATCACAACATGGTGGTAATTCTTTTGTCCTACATGCAAGATACAAGAAAGTTGGAAGGAGAAGTGCTATTGCTCTTACAGTTTGTCTGTGCATGCTTAGAATTTGCAAGCATTTACATGGATGTGCAAATCCATCCCTTTCTCTGAACACATAAATGAGTTTTAAAGATATCCTTAAGTTTACATTTTAACAGTGTAGTCAATGCAGTAGAAACTAAGGTGCTACCAAGAGAAATATAAAATATATTTCTGCAAATCATACCAGATTTTTCTGTTTTCCATTTCATAATCATCAATTTCATTAATTTAAATTGTGTTTGTGAAACTAAAAGATATTTCAGATATGCAGATACCTGTTTATCTATATGAGGTTTACATGTTGAAGGAATGAATATTAGAATTGTTTAGCTAAATTCTGTGTCTAACAAGTAGCTAACAACAACTAACCTTATATTTCTGACAAGAACAAGCAATTTTCTAGATAATTGCTTATTTATTTTTTTGCTAATTTGTTTTGAGAAAGAAATGAAGCAGTAACAAATATATTGTTAGTTCAGTCTCCTGGCATTCCCTGCAAAACAATCCAGTGTGTTAATGCAGAGGAAAGCTGCAATCACGTTGCTTCTTCTGGTTTCTAGCCTAAACATCCATGCTTAATATACATTTTTTTTCTTGTTATTACACCACTGCTAGTGAAAAATATGGACTTCACTGTAACACCTACTGGGGTCTCTTCAACCCAGACAGGTTTCCAGACAAGAAATGCAAATTATCTTAGACTGGGCAGATAAAAATGGCTTTCCACAAACATAATCTTTACCTAATAATACTTTAAACATTCAGGCTTTCATCTGTATATTGTGGAAATAATAAAGCACACTTAGTTTACCATGCTCCAGAACCTTTCCAGCTTCAGTAGTGGTCTAGTCTTACACAAGTCAATACTCTTGCTTTAATTTTTTTGGTTTTGTTTTTTTTAAACATCAATTAGTCTATTAAGGTTTTCTTGTAACCTGTTTCACATATATTTAAGCATTTGCAGGATTGTGGCTTTGATTGTGTCATATGTACTTGATGCCAGAATAAATTTGATCTTCCCCATTTGAAAGTGCTTTCTCCTGCTGTTCAATCATTTTTTTTTCATGTTCCTGTGCAGTTTAAGATTCATATCTCCTGTGTCTAGTTTATTGCTGGTTGCACTGCATGGTAATGCTAAAATATAGTTTTAATTTTATGAGATGCCAGAAGTCTAATAAATCATTCTAATAAGAGAAGGATGGGAAATTATTCCACTACCAAATTTATTTTTCCTTCTTTTTTCCTTATGATTCATTTGGAACCATGCAGATGATGTTAGCAAAGAATTCAATTTAAAATATGTAATGAAGCTAATGGAAAGAGTCTCAGTATTCTTCCTACATGATAATTCACTTTAAAAGAGTTCTGGTTTCAAACCTCAAGAGTTTTCACACGTATATCACTATGACTGGGGCTTTAAGTGCAAACATTAAGCCAGAAACAACTTCCCTTATTTATTATCACTATTAAAACTATTAAAAATATTTACTATACACATAGACCTTTATTAACTTAAGAAGGACAAGGACCTCAAAATGCCAATTTTTTGATATTGTTAGGCAATGGAATGTAGTAATACACCATTCTAACACAAATTTTGTTTCTTTACTCCTCTTCCTAGAAAAAAAAAAAAAATCACCACTTTCTCTTTTTCACCAAACAGCAACACATACCTTAAGCTTCTTTACACTTGTGCAGGGATCATTGGAAAAACTCTCAGTATCTGAAATCTCGATGTCTTCGCCATAAAGGACTCCAGTCAGATCGTTCCTCACCTGTCACAAGTTGAGAAAAAGGCAAACTAGTGAACTGAGAGCCAGTGAGAAGGAAGCAGATGGACTGCATTTATATCTGTAATGACAAGCAATGATCTTGACAATGATATATGCACCCACATAGTTTTTTCCATTTCACCTAAAACGTGATCAAGGCACTATTCCTCTATGACCACAATGTGCTACCAGTGGCTGTACCATGTGAAGGACTTTACTACATGCAGCAAAAAAAAAGTTCATATACAGCCCCACAAACTGGGCTCCCACTTTGTGTCATGAGGACAGACAATTCTTCTCTATTTCCAGTTGTTCTGTTACTTCCAGGACCAAAAACTTTGTTGCAGCCAAAGTGATGTATGAGACAGTATAAAGGGAAAATACTCATCAAGGAAACTTATACACTCTCAAGTACTGATTTAAGCTGGTCCTAGCATGAATCAGCAGAGCTTTGCTTACATCCCTTAGGGCCTGATAAAGCCTATGAACTCCTTTGTGGCCTACCCCTCTCTTAGACCACCCATCACACCGTGGGGCAGCAAGAGGTAGGGTTGGCTTGAAGGTAGCACATGTACTAAATGTGCTAAAAGCACCAGGTACTAGCAGATTTTTTTCACTTGTTCAGTAGTGGCAAGACTGTCCTCTTTGAGCTGCCTGATGGCACAAAGAAGACAGATAACATACAAAGCAATCTGTAGGGTTTTTTCCCATATAACTACTTCATGGTTTTCTGTCTTAGTTGCTGCTGGTGTTCCTTCAGCCACATGACTGCAAAACCAGTTCCACATTACCATTCCTAATAGACAAGCAAAAATAATTTTAGTCTGCAACATGATTACAGACTGAAATGAAGAGAGTGGCACACCAATTTTAAGATAATAGAATTACGATCACATCAATTGGAGTGATAGTCTATTTAATTTATTTGTAATAACAGAAATAGGAGAAGAAAATCACTGTAAAACAGGTATCCCACATGAAAAAGCAGAAAATAGAGGATGGAAGATATGTGACATTAAACAGGAGAATTTAGAAACCTGTGTGTCATATGCAGATACTTTCTGATGACCCTGTAGGGGTCATTTCCTGACAATCATCACAATACCAGATGCCTTAATTACCGCTTTCATGGCCTCTATGTCATCTTATCCCCTTTAGTCATGCTTTAAAATTACCAAGACACATTTTTTTTTACTTTCTAAGCTTTTAGAATGATTAAAACAAATGGACATATCAGTAACTTTTCATTAAAGATTGTTTTATTTCAGAGAAGCAAGTCAGAATGGTCAGCCTGCCATAATTTGAGTTACATCCTTTAGCCTTCTGTGATGTTACCAGTTTTTAAACTCATTTTGTGAAAATGTGTTCACAAAAAGTGATTAGTAGTGACTTCTTTTTCTGCTTCTATACTACTAAAACTGAATTATTGTTATTTTGGCTCCAGCAATGTCATTAACTGCTCCTTAGAAGAGAGGTCTGTCTCAATACAAAGAAAAATTGGGTTTTTTTTAAAGAAACCATCAGTGATAACAAAAGGAAACAAACCTTTCTTGATCATAGTTTAGCCAATGTCCAAAATCCTTCTACCTAGTGTAAGCAAACACTAGAACAATCATTTGTTACTGAACAAAAAGTATCATTTTCCTTACTTAGCATCAATGTGCTTTCCAAAGTAATACAATTTGTCATATGCTTCTACCCAATACTGTCCTACTTTCTTCTGCATGACAAGAATTTCTTAATTTCAGTTTTTCTTTTCTGATATTTTCTGACCAATTCTAGTAAGTCTTTTAATCAAAGAAAGACTAGTTTAACATTATTCAGCTAAACTGAGGAGAAAACACCTGATTTACCAAATACTGTCTAGTCAAATTAGGCCATTATTAACATAAGAACAGTGACAAAAACACACCTTAAATATTATTAACACTTATGGATAGGCTTCAGTGGGTGGTGGGCACAAGGCTGATGATTATAAAAATTATACTTCAGACAGTCTACTGACTTCTTGGGATTCCATCCCTTCAGAACTTGGCACTTGAGGAATTAAATTGTGTATGTTTGGGTTCTTTTCTAAACAGCGCTTATTTAAATTCAGCCACTGAGAAATTTCTTCGACATCTCCCCTGGCTCATCTGCTAGAAGCAAAGTGTCTGTGGCTTTCAGAGCTCCTAGACTTTTTATTTATCTACTGATTAATCTCCCAAAAGACACACCTTACTAGATTTTGTGCAAAGAAGTTGAAAACCTTTTCTCGTTACTGCTGGAAGCAGATATTTGCTGTTTTCCAGATGCATCTGTTGTGGAGATTTTTCAAAAGAAAGATGATTCTTTCCCATTATCCCAACAAGATAATATTAGCAGCTCTGTAAGAATTTAAAAAGATTTTTCTAAAAGTCGACATTTCCCTTTCAGTGCTCTGACCTATGTCTGATACATCATCTAATGTCCCTGGTCTTGAAGCTTTTTTACTATATTTTCCAGTTTTTACTTCTCATTTCCACACTTTTTTTTCCCCCCCACCAACCTCAGGTTCTTTTCTTCCTTTATAAATACTCTAAATATATAATGGAACAGAAACTTGTGGTTTTCTTTCTACAGAGGTTCTTTCAGATAAATTTAAATTTCAGATAAATTTAAATTTAAGAACCTTCTGATTTAGATTTAGGTCCAAAGTCAAAATTTGCAAAGCCTCACCTCTAGTTCTAGAGCTGCCAATCCTGATGCAAACATTCCTATGTTGGATGAAATCTGTGAAACTGAGAATACAAAATGCTGCATGTTTTGTTTTAGCAGATGCTTGCAGTCCTGGAAAGCGTATCACCAGCAGTTTTAGTACAAGCAGTTTTAGAGCTCAGCAGCAATCGTTTCATTCCACCAACTCCAAGTAAAGAGAACCATAAACTACTGTGCTTCTAGTTTTTTGTTGTGTAAATAGGGTAATTTTGACTTTCCAAAACTGCTGTATAAAGTGATAACAAAACTGCATTAAGCTTTCATGGGGATCCACAGTTGCTAAGGAAATTTTGCACTAGCTATAACACAGAAGCAGTGTAATTCCACGTGGGTTTAGACCCTTGTTAACAATTTAATGAAGGTTGCAGCTCTATGTCTGTTTATATCAACTTTACATACTTTATAGACAGCAATATTTCATTTTCCCAAAACAGGAACTACCAACCCTGATCACCAATAAAACTGAAAATTTTCACAAACCACTGATAGACACTTTTGCACTGTTCTGCCTACAAAACTACATTAAATCAGTATTTCACCATCCTATATATTTAATCCAGGTGGTCAACTGAAAAAAATTACTGGGGTGTAAATATGTTTACTTAGGAGCAAGTTCCAAAAAATGAAGGGTTTGTAAGGGATGCTTTTGCAGGAAGAAAAAGATGGCCCTTTTGCTTTAGGCAAAAGAGAAGATGTAACGCAAGAGAACTGTTTTTTTCTCTCTCGTTCTTCCAGAGCTGCTCTGTGATTCAGCTCCTATGACTGAAATAAAGGTTTTAAAGTTTGCTACCAAGTCTTGCTGTACATTCTTTTGTGAAGTGGATGGCAGCAATACTTGCCTACCTCATAGCTCTTGTATCAAATTTAGTGATGTTTGAGAGGTGAACAACAAAGTCCCTCACCCTGCACCTGTGAAAGAAGAAATACAGGCATTTTGAGGAATAAAGAACTTGTACTGCAAAGGAAGAAATTTTAATTTCTTTAATCTCTAGAAAATTGAGAGAGTAGATAGAATAAATAGGTGGGCTGTAAAAAATGGTGAGTCTAGAGGAGATAAAATTGCAACATAATTGTGGTTGGTACCAGAAAGACCGGATTTAAGAAAATGCTTTAAAAAAAGCAAAGTTTTAAGAAAAACAAAGAAAATGTTGGGGAGCAGCATGGTCTGGCTCCCTAAGGAAGTGGGGCACAAGTGCACAGCCCCTGGAACAGGGATCTCACCAGCCAGCAACCAAGCAAAGGGAGCAGAACAGGCTTGGAGAGAACAGCCAGTTTCAGCCACGAGGTGACACCTCCACACAAGTTCATGGTAATAAGGCAGGTCCAGTGTAAAGCTGGGAAGTTGATTCACAAGTCTGAACAGAATCAGGTTTTGTAAAAATAACCAGGGTCAGACAGAATCCATGATTGCTGGGCAGGTCCATACCAAAATGACAGGACTGGGGACAAGCCAAGAGGGTCCCTGCCAGGCATGGCTGTATGGAGAGAAGGAAACCAGCACTTCACAGCATCACGAGGGCATGGACTGCTGGCACTGAGTTGAGCCAATGGGATGAGGGATGGGAAAAGAGGGGGCTGGGGGGTGCAGCCTTGGGAGGCTACTCAGGGGCAGAAAGGGCTTTTGGTGCTCTCAGAACCCCAACACTGAATTTTGGGGTTTTTTTTTTACTTTCTACAAGAGCTTTGTACAATGATTCTTTGTGTACAATATATGAATGACCCTGTCCCTCACAAGGATACAAAAGTTGTACACATAGTGATTGTATTTTGGGTGAGGTGAGATTGCACACTTCAGTGAGATTATGAGTGCAAGCACCTTATGACCTGTAGCAAATAGTTAGCATTCATTTGACAACAGTATTAAATTTTTTTGCAAGCTAATTTTATCTGTTTTTTTCCAAGGAAAACAGTAAAGAAAGGTGATATTCCTGATGAACTGTCAATCTAGGGATGATAGTTTGGGTTTAGGGGTCTCCACTGACCAACATTTCAAACCAGTTTTCAAATTATACCTTTAAAGACACAGCTCACTCAGTTAATCCTAACTCTGCCAGTTACAAAATGAATTTAATAATTTTTAGAATAATCATACTACTTTGCTTTTAACAGATATTTCTGATGACCTTTCGGTTCACTAAAGCTGCATGTAAGTACAGCAAGCTAAATCCTTGTCGTTCAGGGCAGTCTAATCCTACCAGATGTTGATCATAAGAGATGCCTAACAAATGAGAACTGGTCAAACCAGATGGATTACACAGTCAGATATT